GCTTTGAGCTGCTCTGGTTTAAAACTGGCCAGATGAGCAATCTCCTGTCATGAGGATGTGGGAGGAGTATAACTCTGCTCCAACAGTCCCAGGCTGGTGTAGTCAGCCCAGAGTCTGCTTTAAATTACACCAGGGAGAGTGCCAGTATAGATCTGGGCCCTAGGATCAGGGAGTACTTTTTTTCTGCTCTGTTCATAGAGGGCACAACGGAGAATCTGGGCCTATGTATTTAAGAGACACTAAGCAACACAGAATGCACTCTAAGTGATACACAATGGATATATGTATGTGTCTTCCTACTTACACTAATGTTGAGATAAATAAGGCATTAAATAAAAACAAAACATTGAAATCAATGGTGTTGCACTGGTGTAAAACAGGAGTCAAGCAGCAGTGAATTAATCACAACTAAAACATGTTACACAATGATTTGATTAAAAGGAGCATTCCACTTAATTTGAGACAGCAAACATGGATCAGCACAGACAGTTTTTCACAATATCATTCGGCCAACAGTCATTCAGCCAACAGTCCAGAGCAGCTGTTAACATTTAAATTGTCAAACCAGAAGGTTCTTAGTGTCTCTTATATGCCTAAGGAAATATTCAATCTGAGGTCTGCTTGATAAACTCAGCATGAGTTTGGCCTTCATATGGATTGGGGTTTTTGCCTTTGAGCAGTTTCTGAGTATGATAAAGAAAACATAATGAAAAGATTCAAAACCAAACCAAACCCAAACAAACAAAAAAACCACCTCTACCTATGTTAAAAGATTATTAAGGCTGTGAAACCAAGCACTCAAAGTTAGGAAATGCCAGAATTAAAGTTGCCTGAGTAACTTAATTTGGCTCCCTTGTGTGTCAAAATCCAGTCATTTAATTATATTATCACGATACTATTTTTTTCACAAGCTCTCCTAACTCATTCAGTGCACAAGATGGATAGTTCTCTCTGAATAAGCAGCTATTCAAAATTTTGTTTTCTCCTTATTGTTCAATGTGTGGTCCTGGGCCTTATTTACTGTATGCTATTCAAACCCTGGTATGAAGACAGGAATATTAATTTCCTAAAGGGCTTCTCTGTGGCACTCATAACTATAATATCAAAAATATTAATGAATTTATCTGAACAACACTCCTGTGAGATGAGGGGACATTATCCTCATTTTACAGATGGGGAACTGAGGCACAGAGAGATTAAAGTAATAAAGTTCCACTAATTTTGGTGCCCAAGTTGAGACACCTAGGACCTCATTTTTCAGAGTATTTAGCATTAAAATAGCATTTTATATGTTCAAAGCAAAGCTCCCATGGACTTAAATTGTAACTGTGAGTACTCAGCACTTCTGCAAATCAGATCCAAGGGTCTCAGATTGGGCACCCAGAAAATGAGGTACACAGAATTAGTGACCACCAATGAAAAGTTTGGTTTCAGTGATTTTCCCAGCATTGCATAGGAGCTCTGTGGCAGAGACAAGAATCAAAACTAATTTGCTAGGGCAGCATTTAATTAGTTTAACCCTGAGACCCTCCTTTCTCTTTCTTTCCTCATTCATTACACTACCGCCACTCCTCCCACATTGGTTCCTAGTCCCAGTCTCCTCCCCTCCTCCCAGCAAACTCAATGTACATTCCAACAAGCTCCCAGTCCCACCCACAATTTCCTTCACCAGCTCCCAGTCCAGCCTTCTCTCCCCACCAGTTCCAGATCTGATGCATTCAAATCAGACTTTGTGTTCCATGCTGCCTGGGTGCGAGCAGGCGAAGGAGAGTCATTGAGAGCACCAGAGAGAAAGGTTCCCTGCTCTCAGTTCAGGTCTCTGGCCCTGTCCGAGCCTGGAGCAGCTGGAAGCAGCAATTACAGGGAAAGACTAGCTTCACCCCTGTAGTCCTAGGCTGGAACATGTGTATTCTAGTCACATATAGGAGTTGTGAGGGGATGAAGCACATCAGTCACTTTGTGGGGATGGGTGTATGCCGAGTCTGATTAGCACTAGGAACTGTGAGAGGCTTGAGCATGCTCAGTGAGAATGGAATCTTCAGGGATTTTAGCTGCTAAAATCAAAGAAGTCTCTACTGAGCATGTGCAAACAGCAGTGTTTCAGAGTCTTGCAACTTGGTCAAATTTGAGCACATTTTCATGGGGATAGCGAAAGACGTAACCCTGACAAAAAGGACACTCCTTACTCCTAAGCCTGGGGACCCTTGAGCTTTTCAAAGAAAAGGTCACCAGAATTTTTTAACATGAGCAAAATAATGTATTTTCCCTATCCTTGATCTTGGAAATGGTGCCCCCCCCAAAAACCCCAACAACAACCCCCGCCTCCCCCCCCAATACACCAAAAAACCAGAAAAACTGCCTGAGGCAGACACCTAGCACGGACACTCATCCTAAATGGTTGAAGTTTGGCAAAGTTATAAGTGACTGAAAACAGGATCTTCTAATGGAAAATGTCAGACAACCTTAACTCTAGGTGTCACCTGTAATAAATAATATATTATTATTATTATGTATTTGTTAAGCACCAACAATATCCTCAGTCCTATACATTATAGAAGAAAACCGGATTTCTGCCCTAAGGGATTTATAATTTAATTAGACTTTAAACAATTATTGGCTTGAACTATTGCTTCAGCTTGGAGCAAGTGCTCAAGTTTATAAGTTAGTATATGCAAGAAAATGCTTTGTGAAATTTCACTCACAGGTTACTCTGAAAACTAATAATTTACCCTTGTGAAAAATGTTCATGACCTACTTTTCCTGTAGAAGTAGTTGTACTTGCAATGCTCCATAAATGAACTTGGTATACAAATGAATAACAGAATCTAGTAGACACCAAAATAAACCTTCTAAAGAGCCAAAGGACACATATAAAGAATTTAAATTTGAGATGGAAAATGCTGCCCAGGTTCCTAGTGACAAATCTCTTTCCCCATTCCTCTCTGGCTCCCCACAGCTGAGCTACAGGAACAGATCCATCGGCCCAGGAAAACAGAACAGAATATATGTTGGAAATCAGCAGCTTTTAACAAGTAGCTTATTTAGTGTCCTCATGGGAGCACACTTTGGATGTAGAATTAATAGGAGCTGATAGAAGATTGGTAACATCATTCACATAAAATCTTGTGCAGAGTCATTTGCTTATACTCCACTTTCCAATTACCTCAAATCCATTGGGCCAAAGATAATGTCCCAGTTTTTTAAATTTAAAAATGTGTTTCCCCTCCACATAAAATCTGTTTTGCAATGATTCTCCTGATGGACAAAGCCCCTGTCCATTTATTATTTAGTTGACTCTGTGACAGATCTGGCAGTTTCCTTTATATCCTTGGGGAAACTTACTGAATTAAGACAGGTTTCAGAGTAACAGCCGTGTTAGTCTGTATTCGCAAAAAGAAAAGGAGTACTTGTGGCACCTTAGAGACTAACCAATTTATTTGAGCTGTAGCTCACGAAAGCTCATGCTCAAATAAATTGGTTAGTCTCTAAGGTGCCACAAGTACTCCTTTTCTTTTTACTGAATTAAGGTTAAGTATCTTTGGGGTCCATTGTTTAAAATGAATGGTTTATGTATTCTGCTTCATGGGGGAGGGCTACAACAGCTCCTCCAGGAACGAAAAGCAATGGATGGTGATTAAGGCAAATCGGCCAGGTTGTAACCCTTCCGGAGTGGTACCATCTCCCGGAAAGACTCACATATACTAGTGCAAATAGGATTTTCCAGAGACCAACAGACAAAGAAAAAGCTTTTGGATAAATAGCCTGAGTTTAAATGGGCTCAGGGCCTTCTTTCTGATCCAGCAAATGGAAAGGATCTTCTGTCTCAGCAGGGCTCCAATCCTTGTGGAAGGGTTGGGAGGATGGACACCTTCTAGAGCCCAAGGCTGGAGTTGGGGTGACCTCTGGTAAGGTTTTTTTTAGCATGTGTGTAGGTTCTTTTATTGTTTTAAATAAATTTTCTCTGTAATGCTTTCCACCTTAAGAATGAATGGGCTTGCTTAGGAAGGGCTGTGTGGTTATTTATAACTGTTGGTCATTATGCAGTTTATAGCGTCGGGGGGGTGTGGGGGGGAAGCAAAGTGCAGATACAGCCTGGCTTGCTGGGGATATCACAGTGTAGACAGGGAACTGTGCAACCCAGTCAGGAGGGAGAGAGACACAGGTCTCTGCCCAAGAAGGGTGATGGCTGAGGAGCTGGGGGACTAGAGTAGGTGCCCTCAAAGGACCACACAGGGAGAATATAGATGCAGTTGCCATGAATTGTGACAACCTCCATCCATTAAATACCTCTTCCCCTGTTACTTCTTCCAAATCCACTATCTTGGTAACTCCCTTGTTAAGCCCCCACTGCTAATAACCCCATCATTACGCTGCTTGTTATTCCCTCTGCCCTCCTAACCATTCCCTGGCAAAGCAAATTGCTTGTGATATAAATATTCTTTCTTTCATCCATGTATGACCCAGTATGAAAGTTCCTCTTCAAATTCAGAGGGGGATATTCTTCTCTCAGTGCATTCACGTAGCTTCCATTAACACTAATGGGACTCCCAAGCATTGAATGAGAGAAGAATGTACCCCAGAGTATTTATAGAATCAGACTAGTGATATGAATTCTACAGAGTATTTCACTTTACTCGTCTGTTCATTTTTGATCCATTTCATATTTGAAACAAGCAATTAAGTGCATGTGTGATATTTGAAACAATAGGCTGAGTTTGCATACACTTGTCAATTATCACGGCTGGGCCTGGGTAGTGCTCTCACTAGGCTCTGGCCACACTGGGCAAAAAGAGATCACAATCACAACTAGAGCTGGGCAAATACATGACCCTGAACATTTGCTTTAATTTTCCAGTGAATTCACTTTGGCTGCCCATTTAGTGTTTCCTTTCTGGGAACATTCTATCACCAAGGTTGATTAGCATGAACATGTGCAGGAAGGATAAATTTATGTTACACATTGGTGTTTGTTTCCTTTCAGCTTCCAGGCTCACCTTTCCAGCTATGGGCTTTCCTCCTCTTAGGCTTCAGAGGAGAGATGGTCAGACTTGACAGTCACTGGGGCATGGCTCCTCCAATCAAGATTGCTTCCAAAGCTAAAAAATATTGCAAAAGAGTCTGAGATTAAGGACTGAGGGAAAGGATTAACTAGGACTCCTTTTGAAATGTAATTCACCACAGAGCACAAAATGCCTACCAGTAAGGGATGCACTAAAGGAAATTCCCAACAAAAGCAAGAAGGAGTGGTCAGCCCGGAAGCCCAAAGAAAAAATATCATTGCAAAATGTCCCAAGTTCCTATCCAGTACCTCCTCTGCCACCAAGTGCCACTCTCAAAATGTACTGCTTTCCCCAGTGCTTCCTCCCTGCACGCCCAATGAAACAAAGTGTCTCAATGGGGCGGGGAGGTGGTGGGTCATAGCTCTGCTCCTCCACCTTTGCTCTGGCCTAAAGAACTGGCTGGATGTGGACAGGGGACAAGGCTGCATTGTTCTAAAAAGCTGGTACAAGTTTGCATGCTCTTCTGCACACTGGGCAGTGGAGGAAGAGACTTGTGCCTCCTGAGGCCCACTCTTTCTCAGAGCTTTCATGAGCTGGCTCAGCTCCACATCACCCCAACACAAGCCTGTGCTTTAAGGACCTGATCTACAGAAATGCTGAGCACCTACAGCTCCTGCTGACTTCAGCTGGAATTGTGGATCCTCAGAACCTCTGAAAACTGGGCCCTTAATGGCACAATTTGGTTGTGAGAGTAAACACTTCCTAACTGTGGGTCTGAAACCTTTACATGTATTTCCAAGTGAGAATGCAGCCAACATTATGAGTTTCTCTAAGTTCCCTGCAAGCTGCGTGGCCGTGCAGCAGCCTATTTAGCGCTGCGCAAGCAGTTAAGGAACCTGCCTGGGGACCTACTGTAGCCGGGGGAGGGGCGCCCCTCCCCCAGCCCGCACCTAGCATGGCCCCTAACCTGCCAGGGCGTGGGGCACCCCTCCCCCGTCCCCAAGCGCGGCCCAGAACCAGCGGTGTCGCCCAGACCTGCTGGGGCGGCGCGGCCGGATGGGGCCCAGCCACGGTTGGGGTGGAGCAGCATGGCCCCAGGCACGACCGGAGCAGCCCGACCCCAGCTGTGACCGGGGAGCCCAGACCTGCAGGGTGGTGAGGCCAGAGTGGCCCAGCTCCAGCCACAGCCGGGGCGGCCCTCCCCCGACCCGGACGTGCTTGGGCTGGGGGAGGGGCACCTATCCTGCAGCCCCAACCCCAGAGCAGCCGCAGTGGGGAGAGGCACCCTTCCCCCCCAGCCCACGTGCTGTTGCTGCTGCGGGGAGAGAGAGCTGGGGGGCGTCCTTTCTCTCCACCGTAACCCCTGAGCTCCCTCCTGTACCCCAAACCTCTCATCCCTGGCCTCACTCCAGAGCCCTCACTTCCTGCACCCCAATCCTCTGTCCCAGCCCTGAACCCTTCATCCACAACCCCACCCCAGATCCCACACCCCCAGCCAAAGGCCTCACACCCCTGCACCCCAACCCTCTGCCCCAGCCCAGAGCCTCCTCCCATACTCTGAACCCCTCGGCCCCACCCCCACCACATGAATTTTGTTATGTGCACTGATATGAAGGTGATGTGTCACACATCACCTCCATAACGGTGCACATAACAAAATTAATTCCCCACATGGATAGGAAAAATTAGAGGGAACATTGCTCCCCTGCAGCATTCGAACACTTTGGTTTAGTAGGTCCATCGTGGGGGTACTTGATCCTCTTCTATTAAATCAGAGGTAAAGTACAGTTTTATAGCTTAAAATTCAGACACTATAACTATTTCTAGAGCTGTATATGCGACGGAACATGTTTCCGTCACAGAACATTGATTCATCGAAATATTTTGCAGAGGTGGTTCAATTTTCATGCTGGTCCAGTGGCAACCTTTCTGGTTTCCTGCCAGCTTGTCTGCTGAGCTTCTCAGCAGCCTACCTGGTGGGCTGCTGAAATTCACAGGCTTCCAGGGTACTGGGTCTTCAGCAGCTCGCCTAGTGGGGAAGCTGAGAGCCCAGAAGTCCTGAGATACCCTGCTCCCAAGCTCCTCTGCAGCTTGCCTGGTAAGCTACTGTAGAGGAGGGCTCCCAGCTCCTTCACAGCCACCAGGTGGGTTGATAGGGAGACTGGGAACACCAGCTTGTGGCTTGTCAATAGCTTGGACTTCCAAGGTCCATGGCTTCAAGGCAGCCAGCCATGCAGACCACCCTGGATTTGGGGACCCCAGTGCTTCCAGAGTCCATGGCTCTGTGCCAGTTAGCCAGGCAGACTGCCCCAGAGTTGAGGACTTCAGGGCTTTCCCTTTTGCAGAGTACTTCTAAATGTTTGGGTTTGTTCCAAATTGGAACAAAACCAAATTTCAAAATTCTGAAATTCTCCATGAAATGGAGCTACCTGTCTCCGCATATCTCTGCTTATCTGTGGACTGCATGTATTTCAGAGGGAACCTCCTAAAAGGCTGTTTCAGCTAGATTGTGCTGACCTATCACTCCAAGAACTACAATTAACTGCAAAATTAATGTTTTCAGATGGAAGGGAAATCTGAGAGGCAACATGGATTAGACACTGCATTGGGACTCAGAAAACATGGATTCTATTCCAAATTCTGCCATTAACCATCAAGGGCAAGTCACTTCACCTGTCTGTGCCTTTTTCTCCTTCTATCCTCTTTGTCTGCCTTATCTAATTATGCTGTAAGTTCTTCAGGGCAGGAATGTCTCTTACTGTCCATTTGTACAGGCCCTAGGCTCCAATCTCAGTTGAGGCCCCTCGGTGCTACTGTAATACAAATAAATAAGAATAGTAATAAAATCATTTTAGATAAAGTGGTTTTACACTGAGTTTCAGAACATATTATTGCTTTGCATATTCCTTGCAGGAAGTGCCAGTAGCCAATTAGCAAATTAGTGGCCAGGATGACTGATTTGTTTAGACCACCATATTTTCAGCAGTAACATTTAAGTATCACATTTTAGAAGGGGGAAAAAGAGGTACAAGTTGAGGACAGAGGGAATATTGTACATGAAGGAAGTTTACATAAAGTGGCTTTTTACAATAATTACATATCTTTATCTCCTTTAAACACATGCACATGGCTTCAGCTTCTACAGCAGTTGCCACATTTATCTACTGTGTATGAATGATAAGATACTTGACAGTAAGAATGGTTCCATTAATTCTATTCTTCAGTTAGTTTGGTAATCCATCTGATGCTCTGATCTGAACAAGTCAATTTTAGTACTATCTGCTGGTACATGAAAATGCAACAGAGTAATATTTCTGAAACAGAAAAGCTGTAAGTCATAAGCGAGCCATTACAAATTTACTTTAGTCATAAAAGATTATTATTTTAAACTATGTCCCATAAAGTACTGAAGGTTGGAGGCACTAGGCAATTTTAAATAGTTTTGCTTTTTCATTAATTTTTCTCTCTTTATTTTATTGGAAGGTATCTAGATATGAGTAGCCATATACCTACAATCAACATGTTTCAGAAACAGCACAGAATTTGAAGAGGAGACTTATGTGTCTTCTTCCAGTGTTCATAAAAGTCCAAATCCTATTCTTAATTACATCTATATGTTTTTTTTTCCTAGTCTGGATTCTGATAGCCATAGCTAAATATTATAAAATCAATCATTTCACTTATTTATTATTGTTAATTTATTTACTTCCAGTAGCAGCCACAACATGCTTGGCATTTTCCAAAGAGAAAAGCAGCCATGGTTCCTGTTCTAAGAAGTTCTCAGGAATCTAAGTCAGAATCCATTTATTGTAGCTGGTAATCCACAGGATATGAAGATTTCCAAAAACTGCTGCGTGTCTGGTAGTTTTAATTAAATGATCCACCAGTGCGCTAGATTCCTTAAAACTGATCTGGTCTGTCATCCAGCCAAGCACAATATTCTAGACTCTATAATAACTTTAACCTCAGTCATTTTATAGATATACATTAATATAATATTCCCCCAAATGTGTACAGAGCTACATATGACCAACATAGAAAGATGGGAGTGTGACAGATATGGCAATTTCCTGTAATATCCTTGGATTACAATATCCTTTATTGTATTATGTTCGTGTATTATTGTGGGCCTGGATTCTATGTTACATCTGTAGGGGGGAGAAGTGATAGATGTGAGGCCTAGGAGTTCAAAGACTATACTGAAAATGTGGCTGACAAGTATGGACAATAAACAGTAAGTGGATTTCTTGGGGAATACTAGGGAGAGGCTAATGCAAATTCCCCAACTCCAGTTATGCAAAAACCCAGCCTTTTGAAGCTATGCCCTGAGCAGAGGGTTATTGTTGTCTGCTGATCACCTGTTATGGAAGGCCAAGCTCAAAGGCCCACTTTGTATGAAGAAACAGCTGACCTACCCAGCCTTTGTCCTGGTTCTCGATCTAAAATGTATATGAACTTGTAACCATGGGGAAAACCCAGATATGGGCTTTGAAAGACTGAAACCTATCAGAGCTCTAGGTTGGATTGGGGGGCAGGGTGACCTCTTTTAAGCTTTTTAGCATGCATGGAGGCACTTTTTTATTTTCATGTTTTCTCTGCAATGCTTTTACCTTAAGAATAAATGTGCTTGCTTAGAAGAAACTGTGTGGTAACTTGTAACCGCAGGCAATACACTGGTCATAATCTTTGGAGAGAAAGCAAAGCTCAGACTCCTGTCTGTTTAGGCAGTCTGGGGATATCACAGTGTAAATCAGGGAGCTGTGCAGCCTTAAAATCCCTCATCAGAAGGGAGTGAGACATAGGTCTCTGCTCAGGAGAGACGATGGCTGGGAGCCAGAAATATTTAAGTGGGTGCCCTTGAGGGACCACAGAGGGGGGAACATGGGTGCAGTTGCCCTAAACTGTGACAAGGAGTACCTAGTTCTCTACATGCTCCCTAGCAAACAAACTTAAGTCCCAACCCTGCAAGCTACTCAATGTGGGGAGATCCTAGCACCTGTGCAGGACCCCACTGAAGTCAGTAGGGCTGTATATGGGAACAGAAGTCTACCTGCATGGAGAATGTTGCAGAACTGGGGCCTAAATCCTACCACTTACTGAGGCATAGTTCTTTCTATGGTAAATCATCCCACTGACTTAATTAGAATTGCACATGCTAATACATATTATCACGATCTGACTTTTTGGGATAAAGACTGAAGCTATTAGATAAAAGGAAAAATCCATGTTGTACAATGTAACCAAGAATTATTTTCCCTTATTAGAAACAGAAATTCTATGTGAATTTGACCATGTGTAATTCAAATCTATACTTTTAAAAACCTATTTTGCTTCCACATTCTAAACTTCCACTTGTGATTCTGTGGGTGTGTTGGGAGAAAGAAAGATGGTGGGAACAGTTAATTCTCCTTTATCCTCAATAAATATGTTTCTTAAACCCCTGCATTTGTTACATGCAGACGCTTTCCTCTTACCAGCTACAGTCTGGCAATATCTATATGTTTACATCTCAGTTATCATCTTTCCACATGTAATTTGTTTTCAAAATAGGTAATCTTTGGAGCAATAGTTAACTTCCAGCAAGTTACTTGATCACATTTAGCTCACAGATGCTTTGTAAGCTCTGTAAGCTCTTCAGGAAAGAGTCTCCCTTTTATTTTTGTATTGTACAGTCTGGAGCATGTTGTTGAAAACTAGAAGCCCTAGCTGTAGAATTCAACCACTCCTTTGGATTAAAGGCAAGAATATCCATAAAGACAGAAGCAGTAATTAACATACCGAGCTCATTTAAAATTAATTAACATACTGAGCTCAATTTAATTCGATGTAACTTGTTCTTTCATACCAGATACCCTTTTGTTCTTTTCCTCTTTAGCTGACGGGGGAGTGCATGGGAATTTCCAAGAGAATAGTAGCTTACCAGAGAAGCAGCAAGGTGACATTTCTTTGGGGAGTGGTGGGTGGCTGAACATGAAGCAATAGCCTGTGATCTATCCAGAGAGTTGGTTGATGAGCTGCTTCACAGGCTTAGTTTAGGAGCTCTGCGTGGGAACTGGAAAAGCAGCTCAAATTTTTCAGTGAGTGCAAACCAAAGGGCAGGATAGATTTTTATAACAGCAACAGCAAACAGGAGGCAGCAAACTGGAAATTCCTGCTGGAATTCAAGAAGGGAGAAAGAATATGAAGTCAAGACCCTGAACAAATAAAGAGCCAGTTTTTCTCAGCTATGCAAGTCTAGCTCTGGAGTAACCTCAGTGAAGTCAATGGTGTTACTCCAGAATTATACCAGTGGAAGTTTGAACAGAATCCATTCCAAGAGGGGATTTAGAAGGATCAAGGAAGAGAAATTTGTAGGCAGGAGTAAGAAGCATGCTCTATTTATCTCGCTTGCATGGGAGCATAGGAATAAAAACAAACAAAATCCATTAAAAAAAATAAAGCTTAGTTACCTTTTTTACACATCTGGGGCTGTTTATAGCTACTGCAGTCCTGGAAAATAGGTCATTAGATTACTACTCATAGGCAGAGTTCAGCAATGCCTTTCGGAGTGTGTATGCCTACATGGTTCAAATATTTTATGTGGGGTTTGGGGAGAATTCTTGGTTTCCCTTATACTTAATTTGTCTCAAGCACAGACCAGTAACATGCCTGATGTTCTTAACTCTCCTGGTAACGACTGCCTGGAATTAGACAGCAGTCTTTTAATCATGTAAAATTAGCCTAAGGAATTTTACTAGATTAAATCATAGCTCCTTGTGCTGCAGTAGGAGTCCCTTAATGCTATGGTAATGCGATAGTGCATGTGGCTACCAAGATCCTGGAGACGTTATGTGCTCTGTACTTTAATGGCAATTGCCAAGTGCAGAAGTTATGTATGCCAGGAGTCTTCGCCTCATCATTACCATGTGTACTGTAGCGGTGTCAAGAGGCCCTAACCAACTGGAACTCTGTTATGCACACACACATCATAAAGAGACTTTCTCTGTCCTGACAAGCTTACAGACAAGACAGAAAAAAAACATGGAAGGGCGGGGGGAAAAGCGGTGAAGTGATTTGCCCATGGTCACAAAGCAAATCAGGGGAATAAAATCCAGATCTCTTAAATTCCACTGAAGCCTCTGTGTCTGGGCTACTTTAACTCACATCCTTTTACACCTTCTGTTGGCTTCTTGCCAGGTGAATTACATCTCCTCCAACTTTCTTCAATAGCAGTAGACTGGATCTAAGGGAGGGCAATGGAGCCTTGAGTGTCTAACTTGCACTGCCTTACATACTGAACCCAAAGCTGCACAAGCATAAAATTGAAGTCAGTGGAGTTGCTTCAGATTTACACCAGTGTAAATGACATCAGAATCTGGTACCGGGGAGTCTAAGGAAGTCTAGAGGGAGTTTACCTTGACTGACAAACATTGAGGGACTGGAATAAACTGCTACTTAGTGTAGGGCACCACTCTGGACTCCTTCTAAATTTTATTCAAATTGCTCAGGGCAGATCTACACTACAGACTTCTGCCAGGACAGCTAAAGGAGTCAGGGGTGTGAAGAGGCATTGCTTAGTTCCTGTTTGATGCATTTATCATGATGAGCAACATAGCACAAATAAAGCAGCTTCTTCTTCTAATATAGAAGCTTCCTGTGTTGTTTTCCTCAGCCCTTGTCACGGTGGGTGAGTTTTACTGCTGTTTCATATTGGCAATAGTGAGACGAAAGACACATAAAACATGTCCTATCATTCAGTCTGTGTGGTGCTCTGTCTGGAGGATGGGTTTTATGACTGGTTGCATGTTGCTGTGTAGATTGGGACCCTTATTAGATTCTGACTGGCCTGTACAAAGGGGAAAGCTCCTTGTGTGCCCCCACCCTCTGTGCACTATCATAAAGGCCAGGCAGAACTGCCGTCCTTGTGCTGCTCCTTCCCTATACTCCTGGGAGTACACAGCAATCCCAGAGCGCACTGAGATGTTGGGGACATGACTCCCCCCCTTACCCACTTATATATTCAGCTGGCAGCTGAATAAACTGCACCTCATAATTGGGCGTAACCAGTGTGGGGGCACAGCCTTTGCACAACTAGAAGTACGGGGAGGCTGACTGCCGTGCACTGTTCTCTCTCGGCTGTGGTTATGAGACACACGTGAAGAACAAATTATTAACATGATTGGGTGTGTAAACTTTAAAGAGGATTACAAAAAGTAGTATATCTTTCATTTAAAAGTGTTGGATGATGCTTTTGTTTTTGTCTCTTTTCCTTCTCAAACAGCTTCCAGGTGTGTATTTCCTAGTATTTTTATACAGTATAAGGTTGCATATAGTGTTAAATAACTGCACAGATTTCTTTAAAGGGGAGCCCCAAAGGGCTTTTGTAATGCTAAGGAAAAAGGAAAGCAGAACTGATTTTTTCCAATTGGAGAAGGCCAATGCAAACCACCTGGGAAATGATATAATTTCAAGCTAGAAGGAGAATATTATAAACATTGGCAAGGGGAGAAAAATTATTTTAAAAATGCAGCTGACAGTATCACTTTAACCTTCTGAATATTTTTTTAAAAAAATTATACCCTAGTGGTGTGAACATTTTCATACTGTACTGGCAGATTTAAAATGATCAGCTCGGTCAGATTCATTACTGGACTTCACTGACTTTGTCTGCCAGGAAGAAAGAGGTATGATGAGCTGCTTGTATTTCTGAGAGAGAAAATCTGGCAAGAAGGATCATGATTCACCATTGTCCTGCACCTTGCAACACCATATCAGAATGGTAGGTTTTTATACTCACTTTGTACTGGAGTCAAAGGTGCAGGGCAATGGCAAATTAGGTCCAGCACTGGTCCCATTATCTAGGCCTTATTAAAAAGATATAAAATTGTTTGTTTCTTTTCATCATCAGTTGCTCTTCTATCTGCTTTAGGGTCCAATCTCACAAACAGTACTACATGTAACTATCACAAATAGTCCTACTGACTTCAATAGAAATATTTATAATAGTATGTGTAGATTCAGGAGGCTCACAAGCATTTCTGGCAAAGTTGGCAGAGTTTATTGGATCTACCATATTCAGAAGCTCTGGCTGAAGGACTTTATAATCTGTTCTGGTGAAACTCTCCAAGTCAGCTAGCACCCTTATTTTTCTTTAATTTTCTTTTAAGCTTGGGGGAAAGAAGCAGGGGAGGGAGAGGAAGGGGAGAGAGAAGCTCTAAAAAACAAAACCCAGCCTTCCTCCCCCACATAAATTAAGTAAGCTGCACTGTTCAGCTCAGAAAAAGTCCGGAAATGCAAATGTAGTATATAGAAATAGGGCGGTAGCCCTTTAAATAGTTTTTGCAACCTCTATCAGCGCTCACCATGTTCTGTGTTTTTGAAACTGCCGGCATCCATTCAATAGTTAAGGTTCCATCTTCAGCTGGGCTGCACACATATCCCTGGTTTTTCACTGCACAGTAGGTCTGGTGTATTTTGCATTTAGGACCAGATTTTCCAAAGAGCTCAACATACAACAGCTCCCATTTAGGAACCTAACTAAATGGCTGGGCTTTCAAAAGTGCTCGGCAGCAACAGCTTCGCTCCCTGGGACTTATAGGGTGCTGACCTATTTTTTCAAAATCTGGTCACTATATTTAAGTGTCCAAAGGAGAGCTGAGCTCTTTGCTCTGGTGAGGAGCATTTTTGATGATCTGCCCTTTTTTCTGCTATCCTTACCAAATTAGTGCTAGACTGGTTCACCCAAATCAGACAGCAAATTTATTTACATCTGAAAGAGCCCCCAAATTTCAGATTAAAAACCAATAGTATGCACAGTACAAGTTATTATATCCATACATTTGGATAATCTTGGCACATATAAATCAGATCTTCACTGTATTAAAGAAAGTTAGTGATGTGTAACACAGTCTGTTTACAAATCCAGGGATAATTTCAGATTTTCTTGCAAGTAGTCAAAACACCAGAAAGTTTTAGCAGAGTTAGAGTAACATGTATTTACTACCAGATTGTATGGGTTTTTTTTTTTAATTATGTAATCTACTTTATTTGTGTATCAGACTAGGCATATTCATGTAACTTTCAAACGCAGTACAGTGGAGTGTTTGCAGAATAGTAGCTGCAGTTCATCACATAAGAGTAAGCAGCAAGAGTGATGCTGTTGCATAAACATTAATTAAATCTAGAAATACACACTGTGAATGTAATGTTGACTAAACTCCCAGGGAAGTACATCATTTATATTCAAAACCTAGCTCCATAATAAATACCCAGCTTCAAATCTTTGGGGTCACTAGCTTTCAATAGATATTTTTAAATGTACATTCATGGAGTAAACAGAATAGCTAATGGATTCCAGCAGTATATCAGATTTATTACAATTATGGAAGTTTTTGTAATCAAATATTCATGCTTATAGTTATTATGCAATACTGAACGTTTTCTAACTTGTGAAAAAAACAAGAGTTCATTGAGAATTTGTGATAAGTGGACTGTTTAATCTGACAGGGGTGACCAAATTTTCCATGGATTATTTGCCATAGGAAGATGAAGAGATGCATTCCCAGATCAAGAGAAAAAATGCAAAGGCACATTCATTTCAGTTTAAAAAAAAAAATCAGATACATCTCTTGATCTGGCTGCATATTTTATATTCTTTCACTCTTGTAAAAGGCCATCATTATTTCAATGATATTGGTTTGCAGGTGTTAGGGTTGAGTATTGCAAAATACTGACTCATATATTTCCACTACAATAAGGGGGGGTTGAGTCACTTGTCTACTCCTGGGGATGTTGGTAACAAATATGAGGACCAGTCCTGTACTTTGTATTCAGAAGAAACTCCATTTAAAAGTCAAATAATAGATTTACCTCAGAAAGGAGTGCAGGATCAGGTCCCTGGATTGTTTTCTTTGGGCCTAGCTTAGAAATGTTCTATCATTGAAAATATTTAGTCCAAGATTCTAACACACAGTATGAATCTGTACAAAATATTTCAACACGAATGGCTAGGGGGAAAAATTAACGATGTAACCATGTTAGAATTTCTTCTAAAGCAAGGTTACAGAACTCATTCAAAAGAGATTTTCTTAACTTTTTACGTGGTGGTGAGCAGATGTGATTAGCTGCAACATATAGTAGCTACACATCCATACCATTGTCTGCTCTAA